TCTAATCTTAAGATTTTTGGCTTTGGACTATTATTATGCACTGTTTGTACTATGTGTAAATAAGTGTACAACAATGCTGCTTAAAATGTACTTATGGAGTACCTGTGCTAAAACTTGCAGCAGTTTTAAAAAAAGCAAGGTGCATCAATTCTGAATGAACTAAGTCTATGGGTACCTGTAGTAATTTGCTGGTATCTGGGGGGCTAAGTTGCCCTTTGCCCTCCCTAGTGTCTGGAAGAAGCTGGGGAGGGGAGAGGGCAACCTAATCCCCCAGACTTATTTTTCCTGCTGCAGCTATGAGGGGGGGAAAAATTTGGCTCCAATAATTACATTCCACAGGTGGAAAATTATAAATTTATGAATTTCCCATATATAGAATCTAATTATTGGGGGTTGTCTTATATTCTGGGTCACCTTATACTTGAGTAAATATGATAAGTATGATTCTTGTTTAAAGCTTTATGAAGGAAAAACTTTTAAGCAAATTTATATTTACTTCTGTTTTGCTGACACCAACTCTTCCCTCTCAAAAGAAAAAAAAAAGGGATGTCTCATAACTGTTTATCAGTTTCACCCACAAGGGACAGCCCTGGCCTTGTTCCAGCCAGCTCAAAGTTAATTTACATACATTATACGAAACATGGACAATTCTCACAACACTGCCATATTCATATTTTCCACAGAAATACATACCTGGCACTTTCTAAGAGCTCATCTTTCTTGTATTCACCTGAAAATTAACAGAAAATGGATTTTGTTTATTCTTAGACACACACAGTTGGATACCAATTTAGACAAAAAACCTGTCATTTATATTTGAGGTAGCCACATAAAAAAGCTACTTTTATACATAATGTTAACAGCCTGCACAATCCTCAGAAAAGAATGCTCAAAGTGCTGGTATGAATGCAAACCATTAAATTAGCACAATAAATAGCTTTCCAGAACACATCATGTCACATGCCTGCATTTTGAGAACATTCAGCCCACAAAATGATTCTCTATTTGGAGCTGTAAAAGATAAATTATAATTAAGCTAATATTAAGAAATGAGAAACCCACACAGGTGAGAATATTTTTTGTAAGAATTATGACAGCTATAAGCCAATGTGTACCATCTGAAAATGAATGTGCATCACTTACCACTCAGCACTGACTTTGCTGATGGATCTGCTAAGTCCAAAGCTGTCCTTCCATCTGTATTACGGATGGTCGGCTCAGCACCATGTTGTAACAGAACTACAATAGCAAAATCCTTTATGTGAAAAGAATTCTGAAAAACCAGGCTTATGCTAAGGCTTATCATTCAATTGGGACCCAATAGAAGAACAGTTGGGTAGAGGATCTCAGTTTCCCAATGCAAACCCTTTGTGTCAAGATCCCTTAATGCTGTTCTGTAAATTTAACTTCCTCAAAATAAAGTGCCTAAAGTGATGATAAACTATTATGTCAGAGTAAAGGTTCAGAATAATATCTGCAGAACTGCATGTCTGAAACTAAGGGCTCAAACAAATTTCACTTCTTGACTCCATTTTGCCTTCATCGTGCTCATAAATGTTTAGTCAGAACACAAGTTCAATTTAATCTCTTCCTCCTAGTAAAGCCTTTGACTAGCTAAGCAAAAGTAGTGGCACAAAAAAACAGAATCAATCCATTATTAGTAATAGCTTCCACTCTTAAAAGCATTGTCTCAGGATTGGGAAGGAGCAGGTAAGAAAGCGAGTCTGGGGGCAAAACAGATCAATTTTCAAAATGAATCCATCTTACATCCCACTGGTTCCCCTTACCACATCAACATTAAGGCGGTACCTGAGGTTACAGGGCATTTCTTTTTGTACTTGAGTAACCAACAGGAAAAGTCAAAAGACATTTTTTAAATTTGCAGTTATTTTATTTCTGAAGTGCAAGTTCCAGTTTAAAATAGATTTTTTGTTTTAGCAAGTGTAAGACATTCTAAAATGTATTGGTAAGCACAGCTTGACCAAGAAAAATAGGGGCTCTGAAAGGTTTTAGTGCATCATATGGAAATCAGCCAGCAGCAGGGGAAATTTAAGAAAATTACCTACCTATACAGACATCAATCTTTCCCTTAATGGCAGCTTCGTGAAGGGGAGTATAGTTCCAATTATCCCGAGCATTAGGATCTGCACCATGACGCAAGAGAAGATTGACAACTTCAGCATGACCAAAAGAGCAGGCATTATGGAGAGGAATGAGGCCTCCATCATCGCGTGCATGGACATTGGCACCACTCTGAAGCAAATATTCAACTACATCCTTCCGACCAAAGCCTGAAACAAAGAGAGGATTTTGTATAGCCCACCAGGGACAAAAGATATAAATAAAGAAAAGACCAAAAGTAAAAATAGGAAATCAAAACACTTGAAGGGGGTCACTAGTGAATTCAAAACCAGGACTCCAGTTGTATGCTACAAGTGGTAACTTGCCCTTGCCCTATACACTAATTCAGAGGTGGCTCATTTCACAGCATCTTTACAAAACCCGTTTCCTTCCTTTGAGTAAGACAATTTTCTCCTATAAATTGTAGGGTACATTAAACAGGTCAGTGTCAACTAACTTACAGATTTTCAGTAACATATTTAGAAAATACGGTGGTTGTTTAGCTTTTTCTAGAATAAACTGTGTTTCAACCACTTCCTGTAGCGATTACATCCTTTTTAAAACTGTATCTGTTGCCTTGCACAGTCCACAAGTCTCTTTACTAGTCCTCATTTTGGATTCCGTTTTGCTAAGCCATACAAAAACCACCCCCTTTTAAATTTCCAACTATTTAATACATCTTTAAGTCTTGCAACATATCTAGACAGAAACAAACAAGGCACCATCCATGTACTAAATAACCTCTTAATAGGTAATGTCAGCTCAGCTCAGGCTAATATGACAGGATAAATAAGGAAAATCCAGATGAAAAGCAATTTTTTAAATTTAGTTGTCTTTACGAAACCACGTGTATCCTGCAAATCATTCACTAGAGACAACAGGAAGTTGAAAAAAAATCTGTCTTCAAACCTGTCAACTATAACAATTTTTTTTCTGTGAAACTAATTATAGTCAATCTGTCATCAGCAAGAAAAAAATAACAGAAAATTAAATAGCAATCTAAATTCTAGATCTAAAATCTAAACATAATATCTGGTTAGAACAATTTAAGAGAAATTAAATGTTTGAGATTTAAAGCAAATATGAATCTTGAAGTTCTCTGTTAATAGTAATCAGTTTTCATTTTAGGAGATAGGAAACAATTTTGCCACAAATTCCAATATACAGGGTTCCTTTCCAAGGTGCAAGCACTCTGAGGCAAGAACCATCTTTTTGTTCTGTGGCTGTACTGAACCTAGATTAGGGCTTCTAAATACTACAATTCAAAGAAATGGTAAAATAATGAGAGACCAGAGCTTAAAATTCTAAATTGAATGGAAGATTGCTGCTCATATTTAAATATCAGCACACAATCCTCTCTCAACTCACAAACGGATCTATGTCAGAGTCAGTACAAGATGTTTAATCATGCAAGCTTTTTATGAAATAAGCCTTGAAAAGCTGTTTTACTTAATCATAAGGCCTATCATTTTTAAAAAAGAATCAACTGCTCTCAGATAAAAAAAAAAAAATCTAGCAGAGCTGACATCATGCACTTAACACAGCATACTCAATCTTTTCTTCCTTGGAATCATCACTTAAACCCTTGGAAGAAACATATCCAAAAGGCAAGTAGCCTCTGAAGTAATTTGTTAGGAGTCTGCAGGGCTGTAATTTAAGGATGTTCAGAACATCTATTTTCAGTGATTCTTAATATAAGTATAAAGATCTGATTAAGGATGAGAAAAGAATTGATTTTTAAATAAACTCTTAGGTAAGGCTTTATATAATCCTTAAATTATTGGAAAGCAAAAAATACGCTTTAGATTTTAATTAAACCTAGCTTGCAAGTAATACTGGCTGAGGGAGTAAATTTTTTCCGTTGTCATAAAAGACTATACAAGCAGATAATAATTACTCAGCAAGTAAGTACCAGGCCGATTTAATGTTATCTTGCAGTAACACAAGCTTTGTTTTAAGTCAGTTCTACAATTCATTACCCTAATTTAGCTATGCCAGGGGCAGCAACATTTTTTGTCTGTGGGCTGGGATAACCCACACTGGGTCAGAGGCAGGCAGACACGTGGGTGCAAGGACCTGCCTGCTGCCAGCATTTGTCTGCATGGCAGCACAGAGAAAGCACCCTGCTGAAGCCCCACATCCATGGGCTGGATCTAGCCCATAAGGCCATAGATTGCCAGTGCCTGAGCTATACCATTAAACATTTTTTCATTTTCCATATACCAACATTGCTAAACATGTCTATCCCTATGTATTACGTTTTTCTGGTTCTGTCTTTTCAAGAAGCTAGGATGACTTCAGGCACTTGCTGAACTTTATTCTGCCTACAGAACTAAACCTTACAGGATGTAACTGAGGATGACAATAAAGGCCCTTGGGGTGTTTCAGCATCTCTCTAACACAATGAGGAACAAACTTCACTCCTAAAAATATCCAAAGGATCAAGCATGAAATCCCTCTCCTGGAGCTGCTAGTCCCCAGCCAGATTTTCACATGATCAACACAAGTAGACAAAATTTGGACATTCAAATCACAGTACAGATAATTTCTGGATAGCTATCATGCAGCTGGGAAACTCGAGATCAGCTAGCACCCAGATTGATGTCAAAGCCCTGTGATTACTACTTGCCATGAGTTTTCAGAATCCATTGAAACTAGAGTCACACAGTATGAATGCTAACAAAATAGCTACAGCCCTGAACTTCCACTGCACAGCCTTTATTAGAACCTGCTGAATCAAGTAAATCTTTTCTGTGAGATTGGCTACAACTAGGATTGCAGCCTGAGGCAAGAACGTCTTTTGGCTCTGGGTAGGCATTATTTAAGTTTCAAAAACAAATTAGATGCTTCACCAGTCATTCCTGGAACTTCTGTATGGATGGATGTAGCAGGGATTCCTCACTTCCTTGGGGAAGTGTGTATGGGAGAAGGAGCCAATGTGAGTATAGCAGTGCCTCTGATTAACTCTCCCCTTTCAGCAAGGCACTGAGAAGACAGAAATGTTGGTGGATCAGTACTGCTTCTTTATTTTTCAATGGACAGCTTGGAGAAGGGAGCCAATTACCATACACAGCAGTGCCTCTTGCTTTAATTAAGGATAAAAAGAGAAGACTGCCTTTGTGGACAAAGAGGGAGCCACTATCTATGCAATACCTCCTCTTCAGCATTACCCCACTGCTACAGGAGGGGCTCATCATTTTTCTTTAGACATTGTTTTGCATAGATATATTCAGTCTCGTATCAGATCGGCACCGATATAGGGAAAAATTGATAGCATCAGAAATCTGCATTTTTGCCTGATGTAGCTGATAAATGCCCCGTGCACGTGCACAGCTGCAGCATGCATGCAGCCAGGAGTGCAGCCCGACGGCTTGGAGAGCAGGATCTGGCTGCTAAGTCTGGTGCAAGAGAAGGGAAGGGGTGTGGGGAGAGGCAGACTGAGGCCTCTGCAGTGAGGGAGTGACTGGGGCAGGCACTGCACAGCCAGTGGGGAGCGCGGGACAAGTGATGAGTGGCTTGTCCAGGGGGCGAGGATCCTGGGAGGGCATGTGCTCCTGGATCTGTGTGTGGGGTGAGGGTGGGCTGCTGCTGTGGGCTGGGGCTGTGCTGGGCTATCCCTGGCAGGGCTGGGCTCACGGTGGGTGGCAGCAGCGCTGGGAGGGGGGCTATAGCAAATTCTGGCCTTCCTCCTGTAGCCCCTTCCCAATGCCACGGCCACTGCCACCTGTCCCAAGCGCAGCCCAGCTCTGCTCCCCTCCCAGGAAGAGCCTGGCACCACCCTGGTCCCAGCCTGCAGCAGCAGCTTGCCCTCACCCTGCATGCAGATCCAGGGTCTCACATCCTCCACAGATGGGTGCAGGGCGGGAGCTGCCTCCCCCTCCCCCTGCTGGACAGTGCCTGTCCTTGCCCCACTCCCTCCCTCACCATGGGGGACTCAATCTGCCACTCCCTGTGCCCCTTTCCTCCCCGCACACTAGACGTATCAGCCTGATGCTGGTGTCCAAGCTGCCCGGCTGCATATCAGAATTAGATCAGTGTTGGCTGATACAGCTCCTTAAAAGAAGATTAAATCTGGCCATCAGAATTGGCCCAAAAAATTTCTATCGGTGCACCCATAGTTTTGTGGTACTCATTCTTGACTCTGGAGCCTCTCACAAAAGACCAACTATTGGAGTTCACATCCAGAGTCAGAGACAGGCCTTTTCTTTCCTATCCTCTCCATCATCGTGAGAAACATTCCACTTCAGAACAGCCAAGAGATGCCTCTATCACCCTTTTTATTCCAGCTGCGACAACTAAGCTTATTGTGTAGACTCCTGTGACTTAACTCCTAGATCTTCCTTGGGATTTGAAATAGGTTTCTCTAGCTTCTTTCCGCATTGAGTTAACAGCCCTTCTACTTATGTTTCTAAGTAGTGTGTTCTTCTGTGTAGTTACTGTAGATAAATGTAGTTTCTGTAAATGAATTTTATTCATAGGAAGAGCATCTAGTTACCATAAACCCCACCAACTCTCTATTGTACTTTTTGGTTGACATGCTCCTTGTCTGCCTATGAGTGACATGAAATCTGTTTTTGACAGCTAGATACCACTACTTTTCTGCATAGGGACTGACCAACAGTCTATTTAACTTCAATACAACTTAATGGCCAGAGGTGCACTTCTGCTACATATTACAGAGTCCAGATTAATCTTCAACCAGATCCTGCTGTCACTGTCTTTCTATCATTATTACATGTGCTTTAAAATCCACTTTACAAAGTGTCTCTCGTATCAGGAAGAAGACTGGAAATTGCTTTTACTTAAGGACTGCTAGAGAATTCAACAATGTCTGCCCAAAAAAGTTAAAAAAAACAACCCCAAAAAAACCAAACAAACAAAGACACCTAAGTTGCAATGCAAGGAAACAAAGCAATTCAAACAGTTTCTTGTGCTGTGGCTTCACTTCTGCTTCAAAGCAATAATCTATAAAGGCAAGCAGATTTCTCTAGAAGAGAATTAAACCAACAAAAGTTTCCCAGCACATGCTCTAGAAATGAAAGTACACACCCAAGCTTATTAATGCTGGTTTTGCTGTGCATAAGACAGCAGAGCCTTTGTTACCACTTCCTGGAAGGTTTCTCTACCTTCTATAACCTAGTAATCCCTCCAGAGACAGAAAACTGAAGGAGCGGTACTTAATA